TAACTGCTGGAGCAGCATCGTATGCCACAGAGAGGTGGCGCTTTAACTGCGCGAGTAATGGCCGTATGTAATACCGACCGCTGTGTATCAATGTCTGTATCGATTAAGTTAAAAAAATGGCCGCACCAATGCGCATCTGCACGCCCTTGGCGGCGGAATTCTCCCGGTGAGTCACCTGTGAGACTAGCGAAATACTGTCGTGCATGCAGAATCATAATACCGTTATGACAAAATAAAAGCTCCTAGTTCCTCGCGACTTTCATCACTGCGGTTGTCTTATAAAAGTCAGTTGTAGAATGATACCGTCCAAGTGTTGTACAAATTCTCCGATGTTGTTGACCAGTTTCGCGTTGCTCTCGGCAGGCAACCGTGGCAGGTCGGTGCTGCGGTAGCACGCGGTACGGGTGTAGCAAAGAATAAAAACATGTGACGTCAACCTAACCACTTCGAGCTAATTGTCTTGGCAAGCAAGTCGGGCGTTCCGCCAGATTACCAGCGCCAGATTTCGCACCTCTTTTCTGTGGTTTAAGCAAACGGCGGCAGTGAAACTGGGAGGAACCTAAGTTTATTGGCCAATAGGAGCTATGTTTGATTATGCATGACACGAAGTATTGTGCTAGTCGTAGGTCGACTTGGAGAAATACGCGTTGGATGCGCAAATAGTGCGGCTTCAAGCGGGGTATGCATGTGTACCGATTTTGCTTACAAGAAAAAGCTTGCATCGCGGCAGCGCTTTCAGTTATTTTGTGCGGCTCCGCGACCGTTTAAAATATCTGAGCGATCGTGTCTAATGAACAGGAGCAAACGCGGGTCGCTGCGACACAGCCGCGACGGTCGATAAGCACATGCATACACGTACACGCTTGCATATACAGTGCTCGGAAATAAGCCGTTGTCGCGGTTGTCCGAGACAACCAGAAATTGCGCCGGACAACCTAAGACCCAGTCTGAACATTGTCCGGTGGACAACCTCAAGAAAAATGTGACGAAAACTAACTTTAGTCTTTATGTTTTTCTGCAGGGGTTCCGCCGTAAGAGCACTTATATCTCGGCGGCTCCACATTAATGCTATGGTTTGGGAAACGCGATGCATACAAGCTGCTATTGTCCAACACTGGTATTGTCAGGCTTTTCTAGATATTATGAGAGGTGAACTGTCGATTGGAACCCACAACGCAGCAAGTTAACCCCTACAACTTGGTTTTATTCCATATTATTTTGAATTTCCGATGCTTCTGCCGCATGCAAAACATAAGCAACAGTGGGGATGTCATCGTTGATTCGAGCAAGTTTTAAAAATCAATAGAATGTCCGTAGTCAGAATCAAGGCTGTACATGTACTGCAAAAGTGCCCACGCGAAATACCTGATCTCGCTGCGATCATACATTTTCAAATTTTCTGGGCGAGGGACCGTGCCAGCATCACCGCCCCGCCATTGTTTTCACCCCCCCACTGGAATCCTAGATCCACCACTGAGCAAGTACATATCTTGGGAGCAAGAAAGCAATGAAGCAAAAATGTCGCCCTTCGCCATAGGCACCGCAAAAACAAAAGATTGGCAGAGAAGGGAGACTCGGAGCCGTAAGGGTGTTGTGAGAGGGCAGGCGGAGGAGCGCCATTAAAAATATTAAGTCATCCACTATGTTTGCAAGCAGTTCGGCTGTTTTTGCCGCCCCTTGTTAAACAAATTCTGGCTACAGCAGTGTTTTTGGGGGTGTTTTCTGACATATTAACTAGTGATTGAGAAAGAGGGAAGATTTGGGGATGATTTGTCTTGCGAGACGAACCCAGAGAAGGTTCGTTGCGGACAAACCGATTTTGATGCTGGTTGTCCGCCAGGACAACCACCTTTTTTCTATTCGAGCACTGATATATGTCACGCACACACAACGAAGGCAAAAATACATGCTGAGTTAGAAATATACCGGACACTGTTCGGGGCTAAGGCTCTCGAGTACACGCGTCCAATCATCTGCGGGTGTGCTTCCTCTTATGTATGCGTATGTCAGTATTATGTATGTATGCTAATGTATGTATGGTATGTAAGTGTATGTATGTATGTCATGATGTATGTATGTAAGACTAGCAGATTGAAGGCGGATGGTGGATAATATATCGGCTTGCTTGTTTAAGATACGTGCAGGCCGCGCCCGGGGCGGCCCGCGCGGGCGCGCGGCGGCGGCGCGCGGCCGGCGCCGGGGGGCGTGGCGCGCGCGGGCCCCGACGAAAGTAGTACAAGAGTAAAAAAACAATTCAGCTTTTTCAGCACAAAAATGGATAAGTAATTCTGTTCATCCATATGGTCAAATGTATGGTCAAACTTGCTGCAATTACTACTTTCTATTTACTATATCTTGTTCGACCTGAAAACACACAGCGCCCGCGGGGCCGTGACTCATACATAGCGCATAGCAAGCAATTAATGGTCACAGGAGCATAAGTATGCAAATCGTCACACCAGCGGTTTTTGGATTTTTTTACAGAGTATTGAGAATCTATCGGGTAACGAATTTGGAGTTTCGTAAGCGAAGCTATAGGTTAGCCAACTCCGAATAAACGTTGAAAAATAGAAAGACTTCTCAGTAAAGTGTTCCCTTAAAACCTATTGAGAGTATCCTTAAACCGCTCGACGTACGGGTCATGGATGATGCTTTTAGGTGACTGTCGGGGAGGTATCTGTGAAAGGACTCAGGACTGACCAAATGTGGTCCGGGTCAAGGTCAAAGACAAAGATTTTCTAAGCTGCGTCTATGAATTGAATCAATGTCAGCCGCTGAATGCTGCCGGGGCGCCCACCGTCATCCGAAATGTAGGACAAAAACCGGGGCGCACCGCGCCATACTCCATGCATGGGGGGTGAACTGCACTTCTATTCTAATAAACAGTGCAACACCCTGCCGCGAGCGCAAATCGCAGAATGCTGTTTAGATTTATTACCACCACACGGCTGAGCAGTAAATCTGTCGCCTGCCATGAATACTACTCTGGCATTTTAGGCCTCGTGAATCTTTCCAGCAACAGCAATGAACATTAAGTGCATCTCTACTTCTTGACCTTAATTTATCAGCTCCTGGCAACGAGAAGGGCCGATGCATCTTTGATTATGATTACACTTGGCACGCGGCCATCTCGGGCGGCAGACTAGTGAGGCCCTATGTGAGTATCATTGATACACGATACAGACAGTCAGCGAGGTATGAAGAGGCTAGCAGCTCGCAGTGTTAGGCGTTTCTGTTTTACTGTTTAGTGTTTTTCAATACCCTATTGCGCTAAAAACAGTTTTGATGAGCGAGCGCCTAGCTGGTTTAGCGATGGAACAGGCCTTCAACTCATTTGGAGTCAGAAACGAATGAGGACGCGCCAGTAACAGTGAGGCAGACAGACCTCAGATAAGCACGTCTGCTCATCATGCGGCACCCTTGGTTTAAATTAAATATACCAGAAAATTCGGTGCGACGGTAGTTCAATTTAAGAAGAACACTACTGTTGATAGCCATATGTTGACGATGTAATTATGTCAACAGGGCATGGCATGCAGTATGGAAGGTCATGCCAATGGAAACAAACGCGTGACAGATACAGGTTACGCACTACACATACGTTAAACGTCGGGCGGTCTGTGTTAGACTGTCACCGTACACGGTTCATGTAGTTAGCTTCAAATCACATGCGTCTAAACAGAGGAATTGCTCCGACCTGTGATTGGAGGATAAAAATAGACCCCGCCCACTTTTCCGTGATTGGAGGATAAAAATAGACCCCGCCCACTCGCGCCGCATATGCTATGCTATGACGGGTAGGAACGTGTATTAACTACCATATGGATCGAGCGAACGATTTGAGTTACATTTCTATAAATTCTAGCTAATATAGACAAATGTCTTAGCCTTAATCTCTGTGAATTTTGAGTCTATCGATGCACGATTAGTCTAATTAATTAGCAAATATGCACGCGCGGCTATGACCGATGAAACGAAACGTCACGAATTCTATTTTTATCCTCCAAAAATGGAAAAGTGGGCGGGGTCTATTTTTATCCTCCAATCACAGGTCGGAGCAATTCCTCTGTTTAGACGCATGTTTCAAATCGTTGTCGAGACGCGGAGAACGGCGTTTGCACAGCGACACGGAGTAGATTGCATGACAAAGCAGCTGCATGGCTTGAGATTAGAGGTAGAACTTATGGTTCCCCTCTAGGGTCCTATGCCGGCCACGCATTAATATATCTACTTGTGACTTGACTTCAAGATAAATTGTTGTCAGGTTGATGTAATTTATTCACATTGTTTTATTATATTATCGCATTCCACGATGGCAAACTGAAAATGAAAGGGTTCTATATCTATAATTAAACTTTGTTTTAACTGTGGTCATTACATTCATGCAATAAAAATAAATAGAGATATTATAGTCATTTGCAGAGTAATGAATCTAAATGCTAATTTACTGTTTTCTCATATAATATAAATCTACCTTTAACTATAAATCTAAGTTTAACCTTAATATAAATCTACATAATCTGCGTCGCTATATACTGGCAATATTGTCATTGTTGTCAGAAAGCCGCTACAGACTTCCTTCGCACCTGCTCCCTCTCTTGTATATTTAACCCTACTTACTCTATCTACCTTACCTTCCCTATCTACCCCACCGCAATGTTTTTCTTCTAAATTGCAGTGCCTTTGTCTAGAACAGCCTCATCATTTTCAAATTTGGTTTTAGGCGGTTTTGTTTATTAGTAGCTTCTAATATTAAGAGCAAAATGTTATTGGTGCTCACTGATTTTTTCAGCTATTACGAATCTCAACCCCTTTCTGTAGAAGGAACGCCTGTCTATAAAATTTCACCAGGGTTTCCCCCAAGGGACCCTTACGTATACAAGTTTGAATACATTAGCTCTTCGTGATGTAACATTGTGTGTATGGACTAGTTACATGGTGTTACATTGTATTACATTGTTACATTGTATTACATTATTACATTGTGTATGTGTTTACAGGCATGGCACGCTTCTCCAAGCAGCCAGAGTCGCAGTCAGTAGAGGAGGGAGGTGTGGTCAGGTTTGAGTGCCAAATCAAAGCTGTTCCTAAACCAGTCATAACCTGGGAGAAGAACGACGTCCTGCTACCTCAGAATATTGGAAGGTTAGTGTAACAGTGTTTGGGAGTAGGAGAGGGAATTATATTATTATTTGTTGTTATTATTATTATTTATTTGTTCATTATTATTTAGTTATCATATTATTATTTTTGAGAAATTATCTTAATTTATATGTATATTTTTTGTAAACATGTGGATTATTAAAATTGTGTTCGTTGCAGGTAAGGTTATATTATATAAATGAGAAGGTGATTCGTATTAATGTTATGTGGGATTTCGAGTTTGGTTCACCCTGGCAGGCATTGTGCGACGCACTGCGGTATACCTGTATAGTAGTAAACAGCTTGTACTATTTATATTTGCTGCCAGGATGCCGTTGTCAGAAACAAAATTGCATGGTCTTAACATTAGTCTTAACATTAACTTTTTCTCTCAGACCGTTGACAGAAACGCTGCCGAGCTACGAGAATGAAAAATCGTAGCAGATTTCCTCATAACAATACGAAACAAAGTGATGTCGACGGTCTAGGAGAAATTGTTAATGTTAAGACTAATGTTAAGACTAATTTTGTTTCTGACAACGGGCCCCAGGTGATTGCCTCACTCGTTGACATATATTATATTATTATCGGTAGTTTATTGAGTGGTGATGTGTGGTGATGGACAACAACAGTTTGTTCCAACCGGCACATGACAACTGATCGATTGATATATGTGTAGTACACATCCAGATAGCTTCACTATATTGTACTGAAGGTAGTTATTTTGAATCCACAAATTCCATCCATAGGACTGTACCAAATTGTTTTAGAAATTTGATTTAATTATACTTGCACGGTATCAATTCGCTCTGAAATGCTTCCTAATTCTGTATAGAGTTAATATACTGCAAGAATATATTGCATTAAGACTAGATAGAGATTGGATGGTTCTATATGAATTGTGTTGTTGGTTAAAGTTGGTTTCAGTTGGTTGCAGTTATACTTATAGACTCATCCACGTGTGAAGATCAAAAAAGCCGAAGACTTAGTTATTACATTGACAAGTTAGCTCATTTGACGGGATCAGATGTAACTAGTAGAATGGTAGAAGTGGCTGCATAAACATCGACAAAAGCAACACACATCAAAACGTCTTCACGCATGTTGTTTGTTATATATCTAGACAGTTTCAATAGCAATCATATATTATTGATTGATAATTGAGGTCAGGGTCAATGACCAGTAGCCGAACGACAAATCTGACAAGAAATTTTAACTAAATTTTATCGAAAATTTACGCAAAAATAAATCCTGGTACGTTATGCCCCCGTTGAATAACTGTAAACGACCTCACCTAGTAGCCGTTCTATAAATGAACAATGCATTACAATGTGAGCATGGCGTGTGAAGATAACGTGAGATAACAAGACATGAGGCGCGTTCACACTGGCGGGAATTAGCGGGATGCAAATCTCGGTTTTTGCATCGCGATCGAAATCTCGAGATTTTTACAAGTGTGAACGCAAAAATCTCACTACGTATCGCGATGAGCATCGCGCTGCAAATCGCCATTTAGCCTGCGATTATTTGGGAATTAGCGCGATTAATTGCACTACGGCGTGTGTGTGAACGCTCGAAGTCGGCGTCAAATTCGCTGATACATCTTGGCAGCAAGACTTGGCCATTTTGGCATGTTTCAAGAAAGGAGGGTTAATCGCTGATCTCAATTCAATCTGAAAAGATGCAGTCTCGACTCTGTACTAACAATACGATGTGTTTACGTAAATACGTGCAGACGTAGAGTAGCATACGTTAACGTAACAGAGCTAGAGTAGCATATGTATACTACCAACGACTGCACTGCCGTGTACGTGGAATCGAACACCGAACTCGAATCCCGGTAGTACATAATTTGCGCGCGCGCGACCGGGAGTGTTATATTTCGGCTTGATATCAGGCATGCGCAGCTCGATTAATAGAATTATCCCGCTCGGCAGTTAGCGAGATATTTTCGCCTGTGTGAACAAGGGCACAATTATATCGGTATTTCCATCGCGATTAGCATCGCGGGTTTTCTTGTGTGTGAACACCAGGTGACTTTTAGTAAAATCTTGGCAAATACCAATCGAAGTTGTGGTTCCCATAATTTCGACATAAATGAGCTGAGCAGTGGCAGCTGAACAGAATGCTGTCCCCTCTAGGGCATT